GGTTTTTTATGCCCTGAGGATATTTTTTTAGTTAATGTGAAAATCAAAACAAAGCTGGGAGGAGGAGACGCCAGCCACCACAATAGTGTTCTTCTGCAGTGTGTTCAAGGCAGCTGAACCTTCCCTTGATGTCTGGAGCCTGCCAGGCATGGGATCAAGAGCTACTCCAGAAATATGCTTGCTAAATGTAAATAATGGCAGGGGAGCGGCAGAGGCGGGGAAACCCGAGGCACTGCTCGTTTCATGAGCACGTTCCTGCTGCAAGAGGACAGCGAGGGCAGAACACATGGGATAAAAGGCTGGTTTCTGCCCTAATATAAAGGCAACTGCATATTTTTGGTATCAGAATTTGTCATTAGTTTTCTCAAATAATGATTATTTCCAAAACAGTCAAGCTAAGAGGAAAATGAAGCAACAGGTTTTGCCATGGCTAAAAGAGAGTGTGATGTGCCCAGTCTGTCTCCCCCTCCTCGGGGCAGTCATGCTGAGTGTTGGAGGATCTGGGCACCATCAGGGCTTTAGGTGATGCTCCAATGTCCAGGAATTGCTGGAGATCACCTTCTCCTTGCCCAGCACTCACAGTGGTTTGGGCTGTGTGCATTGGGATGGTTTTCCTGCCAGCCTGGGGTTATTTGGCATTGGCAGTGTCTGGGCTTCACCCTGCAGCCATCCTGCCGGAGCCTGGCCCGGCCTCGCTGTGTGGCTATGGGGACTGTGAGTATCCTGAGCTCCTGTGCAGAGGTGCCTGGTCGCTGCCGGGGGTGCTGGGGCTCATCTGGGCACCATGGGGAGGGAGGGCCATGCCCGCTGCTCGGCAGGTCAGCCAGGCTGGGGCAGTGGGAAGATAACTCCTTCAGAGGCATTGCTTTAGCCCACATTCTCCGCCCAAGCCCGCTGACCACAAATGATAGGATATCTCTGACCAGAGGCGAGCTGGAGCAGTGTCTGTGTCTGGTTTTGAGGGATGGAGAAGGCTGATTTGTGTGTCTTGGGCTGGGTTTTTTTGAGGGGGTTGTTTTGGCTTTCTGTGGGTTTTCTTATTGTCTCTACTAATACGGAAGTTAGAAACTTGATGTCTTGTTCTTTAGCCCCATGCAGGAAGTCTGATTGCCCAGAGAAGCTGTGGCTGCCCAATCCCTGGCAGTGTTCAAGGCCAGGTTGGACACAGGGGCTTGGAGCAACCTGCTCTAGTGGAAGGTGTCCCTGCCCGTGGCAGGAGTTGGAGCTGTGTGAGCTTTAAAGTCCCTTCCAACCCAAACCAGTCTGTGAATCTGTGATTAGTGTCTAGAACATCTCTTACTGCTGCAGCAGATCACACTTAAGCACCCTTGCAAAGGCACCAGTGTCCCTTGTGCTCTGCTGCAGTGCTGCTCTCTGGCTTTGAGCGAGTTACTTGCCTGCCTTGGTGCCATGGGACAACTTTCTTCCCAGGCTCCCCTAAAGCATATTCAATCAGTTTTTTAAGTTCTCTGTGCCCAGACTGACTCAGTGGAAAGGACATAACTTGTCAGGCCACAATAAACCAAACTGGTAACTAAGTGGGGTGGGAGGATGCAGTGGTGCCAGTGGGGCTCCGGCCTGGGTTTATCCCTCTGGCTCCTCCTGGCGCTGGCGCTATAAAACCTGTATGTGGTTATGGTTTGCTCATGTACCAAATCCCATGCTAACACACACATGTAAGCACATAGGAGGAAATTTCTCTTTCTACTCAAATATTTTTGTCTCCTATCACCATAAAATCACATAGTTCTTCAAGCCGTGTCCGTACTAACGTGCGTGGTGTTGTGGACTGTAGGATAACCCCAGGGCTGTGCTGACCCCTCCACGGGAGCGAGGGACCGCACTGGAGCTCCAGGTTTGCTGTGCAGCCTAGAGGTGGCAGCCGTGGCTGGCTCTTCCCTCTTATTTCCATCTGCACAAAAATGGGCTTGTTGTCAGCACTGCATGTTGGGAAATGGTGTAAGTGCAACGTGGGGTGCAGGCTCGGAGCTCTTCAGACAACACCCAGAGAAGCTGCTGCATATCGGGGGGTGGAATTTGGTTTTCTCCTGTGAAGATGATTCAGCACTGCTGAGCTGAAAATCTTGAGCCCAATCTGTTACAAAATTGCTTCCTTTTCCTGTTGTCTGATAAGGAGATGGTGAAGTTCTCGGTGCTGACTGAAGAGCTGTGGCACAGAGATTTGTGAGATGTCAAAGAAATCCCTGACACTGTGTTTGCACATAGTTTTGATTTTCAGTGTGGGAAGTCAGGAGGACGTTACTGCTTTGTTACAGCGAATTAGCCCCAGAATGATGTCCTGGTGTCTGGCTGAAATCCATTCCCAGGGTGATGGATTCGATGTTTTACTCTTAATGCTCTTTTTTTCTTTTAACTAATTTGTAGTCTCTGTGCATTAAATCGGATTTGTACATAGGGATGACAGCCTGTGTCTTTCAAAATGAACCTTAGCACCAGGAGGATCTCATTGGGCTGATGGCAAAGGCTTTGTAATTTAGGGTAATTTAGGTCATCGCTCTGGACCAGAAGCAAAGTGCTTCCAATACCAACTGTTTTTTTGGGGAACAGGAGGGGTTTGGTCTCCTGGTCATTCATAGAGACAGTAACTGCAGTTAACACCATTCCCTGTGCAGGGTGCCCTGGGAGGCTGGCACCACGCGGGTGAGCTGTGATGCTCCTGACAAGCAGTCCCTGCCCAGCTGGTTCCAGCAGGCAGGATGTTGGCCTTGCTCCGGGTGCACACTTCAGAGCTGCTGTTTCTGTCCTAGGCAGGACATGCTCCCTGCTCCCCAGCGCCCG